CGAGAAAGACCACCCACAGCAGGTCCAGCAGAGGCCAGCCACACTGGTTGCGGGCTGGAGCTCACACCCTGCAAGAGCCTGGGCTTGTTCAGCCTGGAGAAGGGATGGCTTTGGGGGAACCAGACAGCAGCTTCCAATACGTATAGAGAGATAACCAAGAAGATGGATCCTGGCTCTTCACAGCAGTGCATGGTGGGAGGATGAGAAACAACTGCCATCAGCTGAAACCGAGGAGTTCAACCAGCATATAAGAAAAACCTTTTTGACCATGAGGGCAATCAAGCAGTGAAACAAGCTGCCCAGTAAGGCTATGCAGCCTTCATCCATGGACGTCTTCAAGATGAGACCAGATAAATTCCTGATCAGCTTGGCCTGATCTCAGAGCCGACCCTGCTTTGAGCTGAAGGTTGGACTAATAACCCTCTGCAGTCCTTTCCAGCCTGAATTATCTTATAATCCTGTGACTGTAAGACCAGAGCGGACAGGCAAGGAAAACTAGCTCTCCTTCTCCACCATACACTGTCTCTTCATACACCTCATCTTCTCCCTTGTAGCAGCCAGCTTATGTTGCCAGACCTTCAAAAGTGCCAGCTCCCGGGGGCTATCACATGTTACTCAGGGTGGTTTGAGGAGGTGCCAGTTTTTAGAGAAGACAAAATGATTAAGACCTGTCCCTCTTGCAGCCTGAGCACTTGCTGACTGCTGGCAGGGCTTGCAAGCTTGGCAGGGGAAGACTTCTAGGAGGCTGTAGGAGAGGATGAGACTTTAACTCCAGGGGGACATTTGAGTTTCAGAGTGTGCCTCCTAGAGATTTCCTCATGGCAAGACATATAATAGAGCAGGTCAGGGAAAGGGGAAAAAAATGTTGGGTTTTTTTTTTTTGTTTGGGTTTTTTTTTTGTGTGAGTTTGTGGGTTTTTTGAGGAGAGATGAGAATTCAAAGTAAAAAAAATCAAATAAAATCAATTGATTTTTTTTCTGGAGATGCATAGCTACTTTCATTAGTATTCTGTAGCTAAATGCTTGCTGCCACTCCTTCCTCAGCAACAGCTTTCTTGAAAATATTAATATTTCAGAATTTATAAGCTACCTTCACTAGCTCTAATCACAGGAATACAAAATCCGCCCCTACTTTTGGCCCCAAACTGGTGTGTAAAGTCACCACATAGTACTTCACAAATACCACTACCTCCACCAAGATGAACATGTGAGGTCCTCCTGCCCCATTACTCTGCCCTGATGAGGCCACATCTGGAATATTGTGTCCAGTTCTGGGCCCCTCAGCTCAAGAGAGACAGGGAACTGCTTGAGAGAGTCCAGCGCAGAGCCACAAAGGTGCTGAAGGAAGTGGAACATCTCCTTTATGAGGAAAGGCTGAAGGAGCTGGGTCTCTTTAGCTTGGAGAAGAGGAGGCTGAGGGGTGACCTCATAAATGTTTATAAATACATCAAGGGGGAGTGTCGGGAGGACGGAGCCAGGCTCTTTTCAGCGATGTCCACTGACAGGACAAGGGGCAATGGGTACAAGCTGGAACATAGGAGGTTCCACAAAAATATTAGGAAAAACTTTTTCACTGTGAGGGTGACAGAGCACTGGCACAGGCTGCCCAGGGAGGTTGTGGAGTCTCCTTCTCTGGAGACATTCAAAACTCGCCTGGACGCGTTCCTGTGTGACCGACTGTAGGTGATCCTGCTCTGGCAGGGGGGTTGGATTAGATGATCTTTCGAGGTCCCTTCCAACCCCTGACATTCTGTGATTCTGTGATTCTGTGAACATTTCTGTCCCCAGTGTAACATGGCTCAGAATCATAATGATCAAATATTTATTACATATTTAGTTGTATGCGAAAATTGCTAGCGGTGTAATTTATAAGAGAAGCTTATGATATAGTTGCAAAAATGGCTTTTCTTTGTCCTTAAATACCTTGTTCTTTCCCCCCCTCCCATGTGTGGGAGCCCTTTTTAACATCTAAGGAGGAAAAGAAGCAGTGAGGGTAACCCAGTCCCCCTCACCGCTTGTTTATTATCTTCAAATCGATCCAGGGGTTGGTTCTGCAGAGAAGGGCCAACGTTTGGTTAAACACAGACTGGGCTGAGCAAACAGGTTAAAAACTCCCTTGGACTTTCTCACTTCCAGCACTGTCAGTCTGCCACCAGCCTGACACAGTTGACCAGCTACCAGGCTCTGCTTGGCAGGCTGCTTCAGCCAGGTACCTGACTGGGGTGTGAGTCTGCTTCAAGGGGGAGACGGCGAGGAGGAGGATGACAAGCTTGCAGGTAAGGGGTCAGGCACCCATAACCCATCACTGCTGGCTGTGGATGCCCCTTCTCTGCTGATACCATTTTGGGGGGCATCTGTTTCATTTCAATGTACCCCTTTTTTATGTTTCAAGGTGTGTTTTTAAAGCTCTGTCTTGGGATAAAGGGTTTTGCTGTGTTTCATCTAGAAACAGGCCTTTACTTCTCTCTTCTCCTTCTTTGGAAATAATTCTTGATCTGGCTGTCCCAGTGCAGGGCATCTTCATAACAGAATTTGTCCTTTCCTCACCTTCCACCTGCACCTTTCCTCCCACTCCAGCTGCCAGGGGGCTGTTCCCTTCTCAGCCTATGAAATCTGTCTGGCAACATCTGCCCAGATGTTGCAACCCTGGCCACCATCTTCTCTGGCAGCCCAGGCGAGCAGTGGCTCAATTCTGGTGCACTTTCTCAGTACCCCTGGCAGGGCACACCAGCATAGCGGCCTCCAGCCACGCTCTCCTCTCTCCACGCCAGAGGGGCAGCCGGTGGGAGCTTTTCCTGCCCCTGTTTGCCAGAGCATGGAGGAGTTTTAGGAGAAAGGTGGGATGTGGTGGATTGTCACTCATACGTAGAAACACAAGACTCAAGACTGTGAACCTCTTCAGTACCTCACCGTTGCTGGTGAAGGGTGGCTGCCCTGGTGCCATTGGGGTGCATGAGTAATGCTGCAGCAGGCAGGAGCAGCAAGGTCTCTCCCCAGGACCATGGTGGGTCTCAAGAGCTTGTGCAGGACCATCATGTCTCTCCCCAGGCTTCGGGGCTATCATCTTTACTAAGCTTTTTCCTAATTCTGGATATGCCTGAGAGATATATCACAGAATCACAGAATTGTTGAGGCTGGAAAAGACTCCTGAGATCATCAAGTCCAGCCTATGACTCAACAGCATCGCCATGGCTAGACCACCGCACTAAGTGCCACATCCAGCCTCTCCTTAAACACCTCCAGGGACAGTGACTCCACCACTGCCCTGAGCAGTGCATCCCAATGCCTGATCGTATATGTGTATGTGTTCCCTCACGACCTTCTGCGATGTTCATTATCTTACAAAGTCATCTTACAGGTCATCTTACTCATCTCTGAAGATACCTGTCTCCTCATACAGTAAAACTTCTTCATTCTTCTTCCTTGCCTGTCCCTGACACTCTCCATATCTCAGCACCCTCTTTCAAGAGTGGAACAGCCTTGCCTCCGTGCCACCCTGGATGAATAGCCAACTGGTTTCTGTCATGGTTGTGACGGCATCTTCCGTGTTCATCTTCAACTCATACCTAGCGGGCCCTAACACGTTGTTGGCCAGTGTGACTGTGGCTGTAGGTTGAGCATGGGTCTGCCTAGAGCTGGCCACGGGAGCAGGCTGCTCTGCCAGCACCTCCTCTGCAAGATGCCGTATACAACAATATTCTGTCATCACTTCTCCCCACCCCGCCTTCTCTTGTCATTTTTTCTCCAAAACTGTTGCTTCACCCTTCTTCTCTGATAATCCTGGCACTCATCCCTCTCTTCCCTCCTCCACCAAGTGCCTTGTTCCACGCTGGAGCTGGATAGGTCCTCCCAGGAAGGGTCTGGCCTTGGACCATCCACAGCACTTTTGGAGCAGAGGGTTGGTGAGATGTCAACCCCCACTGACGTCAAGGAGATGGCAGCTTCTGCTGGGGACATTGGCCCTGCAGCACTGGGCCAGCACCAAGGCAGAGCTCAGATTTGGATGCTTTGGTTTTACCCTGCAACGAGGCTGTGGAGCCCCATGCAAAAGGTGAAACACCTACTCTGCTCATTGCCCCAAGTTCTCCTGCCGCTGTTTCTGTGAGTTTATGTTAAACCCTTCAGTGTTGACTGGACCAAGCTGATACAAAGTGCCATTTTGTCTAGAGATGAATGCTGTTTTCCTGTGTCCTGCGGCAGGAGCTGGTAGAGAGATGTATTATGCAGCATTTGAAGAAGGTTCTTAATTATTTTGCAGTCTGTGTGTTTAGACTTCAAATGAGTTTTTACCATGCCTGCTGTCTAATCTGATAAACAAAAGGTTATGGTTTATAGGTCAGAGCACAACACCCTTTGTGAGATCTCTGCTTTGCATCCCAGTTATACCAATCAATGAGCTTTGCTGAATTTTTTATGCTGTGCTGGGCTTTTATCTCTCCCATTTTATTGAAAAATGACAAAACAAAAAGCAGAGTGGAGTCAGATGAATTCCTAAGATCCTGTTTGCATAAAAAGCTACAAGATCTCGAAGGAAATAATAACAACAGTAATTAAAAGCAGGAGCAAAAACAAAGGACCACAGAGAACTTTTCGTTTTACAGAGAAACCACCACCTCAGTTACCTAAATAGATCCCATTGACCTACCTGGCCTGGAGTTACTCCCTGGCCTGGGAACCATGGAGGCCAGACAGGGACCTGGAGGGAACTTGCTTTGGACTAAAAACCCATTGCTGTGCCATGGAGAAGAATGCTCTGGTGAGGGTGCTGGGCAGGCAGAAGGGGGTTATTTTTCCTGGCCCAAGGCCACCCTGTGGAATGCAAACTGAGAGGTGGGAAGCGGGCTCAGAGGGTAAGCAGAGAGAAGGTCTGGGATGTGCCTGGCCCCTTGCGCTGCTGCTCCCGACTGACCTGCATCGGCATGGTCTCCACATGGTGCTCCAGCGCCCTGGAGCTTGACACCTCCAACCCACACAGGAGTTGGTGTCATGCAGCTATTTTTAGCAGCCCAAGTAGTATTTGACACTGATTCCTAAGGGCATGGAGAGGAGAGAAGCCTCTCTGGGGTCTGTCACAGGGAAAGATGAAATAAAATGAGTGAATGAGAAAAGCCACACTGAACATCCAGACAAAAACATGGAGCCACACTCAGGGTGATGAATCATTGGCAGGATGATGTCTCTGCTCCTGTGGCTGCAGTCCTGCCAATGTCTTATTTTCAGCCCTCAATGCAGTTACCTGAGGATTAATTCTTTTTTTTTTTCCCTTGGCGAGGGAGAACTGAGTTGACCAAACAATGATGCAGCAGCTTCTCCCCTCGCCCTCGCTCTCAGGGCAGTGGGGAGAGGCTACCCTCACTCAAACACCACCTCTTCCCCAACTCAGCCGCCCTGCCCCAGACCACCCAGTCTCCTGCCTTGCTGGGTGATGACCAGCAACTCTGCAGCTGAGGAAGGCAGCAGCTTTCCATCCAGCCCTGTCCCTGCATTGCTGCACTCGGGAGCCAGCTGCCTGGTCAGGGCTGGTGAGGTGCCATGAAACACCAACCTAGGCATGGAGCAGCCTCCAGCGTGAGGTGCTTGCTGCAGAGCTGATTTTCCTTCCTTCCCCTGGCCCAGCAAGCAGAAACAAAGAGGCTTTTGGAGGTATGGATGATCAAGCTAGTTGGGTAGGTCACCAGCTTTTTAGCCTGAAGGACAGTGGATGGATTTATCACAGCAAAACCTCTGTGCCTCCTTCCCCCTCACCACAGGACTGTGGCAGAGGACTGCCAGGGGGTAAGTATACGCTGTTTATGAAGAGCCACAAATTATCCCCTCCTAGCTGTCCCCTAGCTTAGTACAGCATTTTGCAGGTGATGCTCAGCAAAGCAGCCTGCACGTTGCATTAACCCTCTCCTTGCTTTGCTAATAGCAGAGCCTGCCGAGCCTTGCTGATTATGCCTCCAGAAAATAAACCTGCTCCCCTCTTCCTGATCCTCCTCCTCTTTCTCCTTTCCTCTCCTGATCATCAAGCCTGCCCCGCAGGCAAACACTCCAGCCACATCTATGTTGCTGGTAGAGGAGGATGCAGTGCAGAGGTCTCAGTTAATTCTGGAACTGCTGCAGTTCCATCAGATATTGCTGCATTTCCGTTTAAAAGAGGGGGAAAAGAATAAAAAACCCCCCACCCTTCTCTACAATACATTTGCCAAGGCTCCTTAGGTAACCTGCTGCTTTGCATATCAATATGCTTCTTGCAGAACCCATTGGAGAGTAGAGTCCGGGCAATGTGCATTCATTTGTAAGGTTTGTAAGAAGGAGAGAAACATCTTCCCTGAAACAATAGAAACCAAGATTTTTTCAGGTTCAGGCTAAGCAGGGCTTCCAGCCAGCCTGGCACCCCCTGGGAATGGACTTACCTTACAGGTTGCTGAAAGGTGCCGGAGGAAAGCACACGGTTTCCTGGGAGGTTTCGGATTTGCTCTCTGAGCGTCTGCTATATCAGGGAATTTCTAGGGAGGCTGCAAATTGCAGAAGGCTGAGAACCCCCAGGGGAAATAACGCAGGCACAATAATAATATAAACCAGGTATAGGGAATTTGTCACTCCAGCTTCATGTCAGACCTCTGCCTTCTAGGGCTGAGTGACCGCTGCTTGCTGGGGTTTCTCAGCAATGGAGCCCCAAGGCTATTGGGGTGCAGCAGCATTGCAAAGCTGCAGCCAACCCGTCGTGACAAGCATGCACGTGTCGGCCGAGCGTTGGGCCTCTCGGGCTTTGCGACCCCAGCACTGCTCTGTGAAGGCAGACGAGCAGCCAGGCTACTTTTACCGTTGACAGAAGGGAGCATTAATATTTAATTCTCTCCTCAGGCCCCAGAGCTGAGCCACTGATTGCTCCCAAAGCACCTCTGCGTTCACATGGAGTTCAACAGAGTTGCTTCACGCCTTTGTATAGGATCTGAAGGGACTGTATTTACATTTCTGTCACTGCAAAGCTAAGGTCTCTGTCAATACCTGCTTCCCTTGTGTGTCTCAGGTGTACCGTGGGGCTTTTCCCAGTGCCACAACACTGGGAGTCTCATCTTCCAGGGTCCTGTGGCTTTTGGTCATGCTCACACCACAGCATCTGTAGGCAGGGCAAGCACGGGAGGGCATGCAGGTCTGTTTCACCCATAGGTCTCTTGGGTATATCCTAGAAAAGCAGATTATCACCTGGTATGGATTAATTCTTACTTACTACTGTGGTGGACAGTTCACTCCCAACTCAGCAATACTTTTTAGGGCAAATCACGAGACATAGTTCAAGTCCCAGCTGAGTTTCTCTTCCTCCCTCATCCCAACTATGTCCTGACCTCTTTCTTGACGGTCATGAGGATGTATCGCAAAAGCTGAAAACTAAACAGATCTTGATTTCAATCACTGAGCATCTGAGGACTCAGTGCAAAGATTTGCAAAGCAGTCTGCAGATTTTGTAATATGCACTTTTCAAGTGAAGTCAGATTTAACTTGGATGGTGCTAGCAACCCTCCATAGTATTGGTGCACATTTTGTCCTAGACACCACTCCGTTGTTCTTGAGTCTGACTGTACATGTGATATTTGGCTTATTTCTCAAGTGCCTTTGTGGTGCAGAATGTGATGAAAATAGACCTGCAGATTCTGCAGAAGAGCAAAAAATGCTTCCCAGTCCACCATGTGATTAGCTAATGAAGCAAACCCAGGAGCTGTGAAAATGGTCTGTGGTGATACACAAACAAATCACTTGAGAAAGTCTTAATGCATGCAAAGAGCCTGGAAAAACACATGGGGAAGCGATGGATGGGTTGTTTGGAGAGGCTTTGCTTGTGTTTTCAAAATGCTGATGAGCCGTGTGGTTTGTTTCACAGTACATGTCGGGATTTGGAAATGAATATGTTTCCGAGGATCCACGCTGTCCAGGAGCTTTACCAGAGGGACAGGTACTGATGTTTTTTTAAGTGCTTTATCAAAATGACATGGAATAGAGTGAATATCTGTTCCCTGGGTTTCTTTTCATCTTAAAGCGTTTCCTTTCTCTCTGCCACAACAAAAGTTTCCAGGAACCTTCTTTATGCAGGAATTAAGTTATAAGATGCTGGCAAAATCAGAATTAAAGGTTTCCAGTCACATGCTCTGTTTTTAAGCTACTTGTGAGCTCCAAGGTTTCACCTTGGGCGTTAAGGCTTGTCTAAATTACCTCTGCTCAACAGCAGGGTTTTTTTTCCAAAAGGAGTCTGCAATACAAGTGGCTCAGCCACACCAAGAAGGAAGCCATTGGCTCTGGAATAAATCAAAGCAGAAGCTTGAAGCTTGGCAGAGACACACAGACACACAGACACACAGACACACAGACACACAGACAGACACACACACAGAGACACACACAGACACACAGACACACAGACACACACACACACACAGGAGAGGCAGCTTTCAGAATTTCTGTAGGAACTGAGCTCCGTGAAGCTGGCTTATACGCCTTTGGCAGGAGAGTAGCTCCTTCATAGGGAGGAAACATGAATGCCTGTGGTGAAAAAACAAGAGTTTCATGTTTAAAAGTAAGCAATTTCTGGACAGGTTTGATGAAAATAAATTATGTTGGGCTGTTCTGTTTTAAAGAAAGGAATTGTGACTCAGGTGATGCTAGCCACTTGGTCTGCAGAGGCAAGAAAATAATCCCGAAGAATTAAAGTTCTCATCTCCTTTGCACTGGTTTCCTTTACACCAACACACATTTTGAGGCTGACTGTGCCTTCCCTTGGATGTCCTGTAATCCCTTGGACTTAGATGGCAGCATTTTGTGCTCAGTCAATGACATCCCTTGGTGCTGCTCTTCATCCCCTCTGCAAAGAGGTCAGCAAAATTAAGGTCATACAGGCAGCTTCATCCTTCACTTTTCCTGAGTTTTCTGGATCTCCCTAGTTCTGATGTTTCACATGTTGAATGCCAGTGTGGGTAGTTAAACACATCACAAGGACACATTAGAGGCTTATATATGTCCCTCAGGTCTGCATTGCAGCCTGCGGTGTGCCCATGAGAAAAACTGCTGTGCTGGATCAGACCGACGCTCAGCTGGCATGGTGTCTTCATTTTGTGACACTCTGTAGAAGATGGGTGGAGAAAAAGCTTAAGGAAGAGACACCTTAAAACTGGGAGATCAATAGAGGTGGGTGCTGGTCTGAACAGGCAGTGAGCAGTGGTGAATGTGCTTCTCCTGATTTCCCAGAGCAGCTCCACTTTCCAGAGGAGGACCCACCCAGCTCCTGGCTGAGGTACTCTCATCTGGACAGAGTTTGGAGTTTGGACACAATGTCGAAAGAGTTAATAGAAAAATCTGAAAACTAGTTAGACCAAAAAAAAATTGCAGTCCCAGGGGTGGATCCTTTCTCCTCTGCAGTATTTATGAGACTGGCATCTGCAGCAGTGCTGGCTAAGATAAAAATGACAAGGGCTATTGATCCCTCTGCTTCACTGCATACCCATACCGACAAGACTGAGTTTGAGGGCTGGAAGCTACTTGTGTTATGAGAGTTTTACTTTGTCTTTCTGCCCACCTGTCAGGGCAGTGTCTGGTACCGTATGGATGGCTGATCCGCTCAGCCGCAGGGGGATGGCAGGATGCTAAACTAGACCTTGCAGGAGGGAGACAGGAAAGCAAATGGTGTATGACTGTCCCACCGGGGTATTTCCTGCAGTTCTTGGATGCCTTCTTTTCTTGCTGGTTTCAAACAAATAGATGCTGCCCTACTTAGATCAAAATGTTTAGTTTTTGTTCTCTGAAAACGGAGGAATCTGTCCTTCAGTTATGATCTCACAAAGGCTGCTAAACCTGTGCTAGTTGTACCCATGGCTCCACAAAGGGCAAAGAGCCCTCTTTGTACTCCAGAGGAGGATCGTCACCGTGCAGAAGCCCTGCAGAAAAGCAAAGACTCTCGCACAGGACATTCCCACTCTTGGGGAGCAAACAGCACTGGGAGGAGGAAGCATCACATTACTGAAATGCCTGTTCTGGGCACCCCTCCTGTGGGCAGAGGGTGGGAGGGAGGAGGAGGGGAAGGTTAGTACACGGCAGGGAGGAAGCAAAGGGGGAGATGCTATAATAGAGCAGATGTCTGGAAAGCCAGACAGACGTGATGCTCTGGGGCAACCCCTCTGAACATTCAGTCTTTAAAAGATTTGGGAATAATAACGGTCTGCTTTGCAGTCTGTAAGCTTTTCCCTGATGCCCTCGTTGCTGACCCTACCAAGCTCTGCTCCTTGCAGCTTGCTCTAACAGCAGGCGTGTTGCCTCAACGGTTGTGCCAACTCCTTGGGACACTTGTGTGGGCTCTTGCAGGTTGGAATGGGGTTTGGGGTCTGGCTGGTGCCCATGGGGCGCTCAGCCTCACAGGAGTAAGAAAATACAGCTATTTGGTCTGATGCACAGACTCAGTAGTGTAGTCCATCCCACGGCATCGAGATGCTGGGTGCCTGCCTCAGTGCTCTGACAATGCCTTCAGAGCTAAATCATGTACTGCTGCTTCTCACTTCTTATTTTTCTTCTCCTCCCATTCAGAATAACCCACAAGTCTGTCCATATGGCCTGTACGCTGAACAGCTCTCGGGCTCTGCCTTCACCTGTCCCCGGCCCACAAACAAGCGAAGGTACCGTGACCCCCAGCTGCGGGTGGGTTATATGGGCTGCTTGGGGTGAGAATTAGGAAGGAATGGAAAAGCTGCCTCTGTGTTACCAGCGCTTCCTGTGAGCCCAAGTGGGTGGAAAACCTCCACTGTGCACTGGGAGAGGGGCAAGGGCAGAAAACCATGAGAGAGGAAGAGGACAGACTTTGGTGGGGCAAGTGGGTTACAAAAATGCTGGGAACGAGAATGTCGGAATGAGAAGGAAAGTGATCTTCTGAGCAAGAGAAGGAAGGCGAGGGGATGTTTGCAGGGGCCAGATGGTCCTGAGTGCGTTGTATGTGCTGTGTGAATCAGCCTCAAGATCTCAGCCTTGATGTTATCATGAAAATGTCACTTCTGCGACTGGCACTGGTAAGCACTTGATGGACAGTGCCAAAACAAAGCCTCTGAATACAACTCTTTACTCCTTCTAAGGGATGCTCCTGCATGCTCGCTGGGGCCAGTGAGGTGCTAGCTCAGGCTGTACCTGTTTGGGAGCTGGCCAGGGGCTCAGACCAGTGCCAGGCCCCCAGCACACTGCTTACTACCCTGTGTTCCCAGTAGTGCGGGGGACAGATTGTTCCAACCAGCAGCAAATGTCCTGCAGCTCTGCCCTGGTCACTGTGCTCTGGCCATGACCAGACTGCAGAAGATGGGTTTCTCAATTTCCTTCTCCCACATGGCTTTTCTGTCCCTTCTGTTGTTCGTTCAAATGAAAGGCAAATGCATCATCTGAGCTGCCTAGCAGAACTCTGCTCTCCAGGCTGGTGCCAGCTCGCGGTGTGTGTGGGAAAGGGATGAATCATTGTTTGCTGCATGAAGATGTCCTTGATGGAAATTTTCCAGCTCTCAAGGGAGAGCTCTCTCCTCCCCTCTCCCATCCACCCAAACTGCAAACACTGCTGTTAACACATCAAAGGCACTGGTAGCCCTGACTAGGTCAGGCTTTCCTGATTACCTCTGCTCTCCTGCCTGATTAAAAGCCTGGCTTTGGGCTTGGCTGAGCTTGTGCATGGTGTGCTGGCGGGGCCTCCAGCCATAGACACAGCAGGCAGTAAGGGAGGGGAGTGATGGTTCCAGGCAGTGACGAAGGCATGGGGGACCTCCTAGAGCAGTGGGAAGTGTCAGCCCAATGCATTCTATGATTCTATGATCCCACATAAAACCCTGGTCCTCACTGCATTGGCTTGCTGGTGGTCACATGGGTATGGTCGGCCAGGCATAGGATGCTGCTCTCAGTAACCCATCCAAATTCAGATGCTGGCTGTGACATTCTGTCTCCTGAAAACTCCACTGTGCTTTCAGTTAGATACCATGCTTGTCCCTGTCTTGTCTGTGCTGCTTTGTAGCTGTGTTTAAATAGGCTTTTTTCCACCTCAGAGACTGCTGTATTTCATCCACAGATCTGTGAGCATCTTGATTTTTTCTATCAAGACGTAACTTTATTTTTATATGCATATATGTGTGCATGTGTGAATGTAAACACACATAATTATGTGTAAAGACACATATAGACATTTACCTATATATAACAGCATATATTTATATTTTAGAGCCTATAATAAAAGGCCATTTCTCTGGAATTCTCTAGCTGTGAGCTGGTGTTTCATATTTAATACACTTTTTGGTCTGCTTGCCACCACCGTAAAACGTTATTCATGCCTTTCGGAGCTCAATCAGCCAGCAGCTATGCAGAGGGTTTAACCTCTTCCTCAGTCTAATCCAGGTCTGTTCCTTCTCTGTAGCTGGCTGTATCGGATCCTACCTTCAGTCTGTCACAAACCCTTCAAACCTCTCGAGGAGGGCCACTTGACGCACAACTGGGATGAAGTTGAACCTGACCCCAACCAGGTAACTGTGCTGGAAAGAGCCCAGGTCCTGCCAGCACAACAGACAAATATTAAGCTAAGCTGGGGTGCAAAGGTGCTGAGCTGTAAGAGGTCTGAGGAGAGCCTAAGGGAGCTAAGGTTCTGGCCAGCAGAGGAGATGTGTCCAGACAACTGCCTGTTGTTCCTCACCTATGGGTCCTCCAAGGAATCACAGCCCTCAAAGTGATGCTTGTTGCTCCCCACCTCAGTGGATGCTTGTGCTCCTTCCCCACACAGCCGTGGTGTCACAGGGTTAGATGTGTGCTATTTGACATCTCCCTTGGGAGCTGCTTTTGGCCACCTCTCAGGCTGCTCTCTCTTCCTCTTCACCGTGCCCCAGGCCATCAGGCAGAGCAGCTGCAGCAGGTCTCTGCTATCCATCCCCTCCTTCCTTCCCTGTGCTTTCGGAGAGGCTGCTGGCTGCCAGCCCGTTTCTTTGCAGCCCTCATGGGAAATCAAGCTTCGTTCTGGAGAGTCAGCCAGAGACATAGCATTTGTCTTCCTCTGTTACAGTCTTGCCATCATCTTTAATCATGATTTCCTCCCTGCCAGCCCCAGAACATTTGGCTTTGCTAATCCGACTTTCTCCTCCCGCTGTTCTCCTCTCAACATCGTCTCATGGTTATCAGTTTTTACTCCTCTCAGGTTTTGCCCTTTGATGCACCATCACTAGCTAATTTCCAGCCCTCTGGCAGCCTCAGCATTTGTCTGAGTACTTTCCCAGTACAGTTGGAATATGTTTTCCAGCCACTGACCAAGGAGTGGTCACAGGCTTGTACATGCCCTCAGTGCTCATTCCCAGATGAAGCTCCAATGACTTCTGTTACCACCTTATCCATCCCCGATGCCCTTTCACAGCCCACATCTACCATTACTGTGGTTATTTATGATTATGGTAATTCCAAGATGTCCAGCTCTCAAGCATCTTAAGCCATTTACCTAAGGGAGCAGCAACAAAGCTCCTGCCCACTCTCTCTCTCTCACTGCTTTCAATGGTAATCACCAAACTCAGAGGGGTTATTTCCTAGCAGTAATTGGGAGTCATCTTCCTGCTTTCCTTATCATCTCTGAAGCAAAGGCAGGGACTAGGTTCAGTTTGCTGGACAAGACCATCTCTTCCCTTCGGTGCTTTGCATTTCTCACAGCTCAGTTACGGAGCTTTCCCAATCATCATCCATCTAAAAGGATGGCATCTTATGTAAAGCACACTGTAGTCAATGGAAAAAAAAATCCTTTAATGTTGCCCAAAGACAGAGTTATAAAAGGTACAGGGAACAAAACAGAAAAGGGGGCAAAGGTGATGAAAAAATATGAGTTGTGTCCATGCAAGAAATGCTGAAACAGAAGAAAGTTCTCCAGCCTGGAACAGAGATGACCAAGCGAAGCTATGATTGAGAGTCAGGGAGAAACCAAATACCAATAACAAATGTCACATTAAAAAATAATAATAATAAAAAATGCATAAACCGTGGAACTTTGTAGTTGTTTGACCCTGGCTCGTGGCCAGGTACCCACAGAGCTATTCTATCACTCCCCCCTTCTCTGCTAGACAGGGGAAGAAAATATATCAAAAGGGCCCATAGTTTGAGATAAGGACAGGGAGACCACCCACATCTACTGTCTCAGGCAAAACAGACTCGATTTCAGGGAAATTAGTTAAATTTATTAAAGAACAAATCAGAGAAGAGTAGAGAGAAATAAAACTAGATCTTAAAAAAAAATAACACCTTCTTGAACCCCTCCCTTCTTCCTGGGCTTAACATTAGTCCCAATTTGTCCACCTCCTCACCTCGACTGGCGCAGGGGGACAGGGAATGGGAGTTGCAGTCAGTTCTTCTGATGTTGTCTCCACCAATCCTTCCTCCTCCAAGGGAGGACTCTTCACTCTTCCCCTGGGCCTTTGTGGGGTCCCTTTCACTTGAGACGATATTTATGTGCTTTCTCCAACATGAATCCTCTCATGAGAGACAGTTCTTGACAAACTGCCCCAACGTGAGTCTCTCCGTGGGGACTCTCCACAGTCCTTCAGGGGGAAACTGCTCCAGCACGAGTCTCCCATGGTGTCACAAAAGTCCCACCAGCCAACCTGCTCCAGTGTGGGCTTCTCTCTCACCATGGGCTAAAGGCTCTGGCAGCAACCTGCTCCGGCGTGGGCTTCCCACGGGACTACAGCCCCCTTCAGGCATCCACCTGCTCCAGCGTGGGGTCCTCCATGGGCCACAGGTGGACATCTACACCCGGTCACCTCCATGGGCTGCAGTGAGACAGCCCGCTTCACCGTAGTCTTCACCAAGACCCGGGGGATTCTGTGCTCTTCTGGAGCACATCCTTCCCCCGCTTCTTCACTGACCTTGGTGTCTCCACATATTCTCACTCCTGTGTCTCTCCACCAGTTGTGTGGCGAAGTTCTTTTTTTCCCCATTTCTTAAATAAGTTTTCACAGAGGCATTCCTATCCTATCATTACTGATAGACTTGGGATTTGCCAGCAGCGGGTCTGTCTTTGGAGCTGGCTGGCATTGGCTCTATCAGACAGGAGAAATTTCTAGCAGCTTCTTGCAGAAGCCACCCGTACAGCCCCCCTGCCACCAAAATCCAACCAGGCAAACCCACTACACACTTTTTGCCAGAGGATACAAGTTGATTCCAAAAGTGATTGGACAAACCTTGGGGAGATAAAACCTATAAAATAATAGTAAGCACAGCAGTGCCATATCTCAGGAGGCTCATGGATAGCACAGCAGGGAAACAACACTAAAAACTTTCTAAAACTTTCTTTATCTGGATGGAGATACCAAACTCACCTGCCAGCAGATCAGATGTCACTAAGATAGTGCTGAATCTCAGGTTCTGCTTTTTGGACTTCTTTAAAGCATATTTTCCTTTGTTTTCCAAGACAGAACACGAACTGTGGCTCACTGGTTGTCTTGGACTTCTCTTCTGGCTCAAGGTGCTTGTTCTTCTCTTCTTGGATCGGTGAAACCCAAATGCAGTAGAGACGCACCAGATGAATGGCACACACAGCTGGGCAGTGGCTTTGCAATTTGCAAGCATTTCAGAGGAGAGGGGCCAGACACCATTTTCAGTTGGATAACAAACTATTTTCCTGCCCTCCTTGTGCCATGGGAATGACAACTGTGGAGGTGTCCACAGGGACGAAAATGAGAATGAGGCTCTTATGCAAGAAGTGCACTATGCTTATTACTTCATCTCTAGACTTACTGTCATTTTCCATATTCTTCATTGAGAAAATTTGCTTTCCATATCTTTATACATGACATTTATTTCTCCTTTTCTGCCTATTCTCCCTCCCTCTCTCTGTCTCTCCTTCAGTCTTCAGGGTCTTCTCTCTTTGTCCCTCCACATGTCCTCTACGTCAGTATTTCTCAATGTTTTCTGTCAACTGGGTCCCAATTCCCAACTCTGAAGGCTTAAAATAAGTGGTAGAGTAATAGTTCACACTGAGATGTCACCGCTGTACTTCACATCTGCCATGAAATGAATGAGAGCTGGGGAACGTCCCACTGCTTGAGGTGGCAGCAGACTCAGGAGCACCTTCTGACTATTGGCTGTCGTTCGTGTTCTGTCTTGGAAAACAAAGGAAAATATGCTTTAAAGAAGTCCAAAAAGCAGAACCTGAGATTCAGCACTATCTTAGTGACATCTGATCTGCTGGCAGGTGGGTTTGGTATCTCCATCCAGAATTCACAGCTTCTCCCTCAGCCTCTTCCCCTACACCTGGCACCCCAGCAGCGTGACCCTTAGCAGGCACCAGCATGGAGCCACCCTGATCTCCCAGGGATGTAAAGGTCCCGCTGCCTGACGGCAAACAGATGGATCCAGCTCAGGCGACCCAGGGCTGCTCCAAGGCTGTGATGGCGGGATACCCTTGGGAAGCAGGTGGCTTCAGAGAGCAGAAGGGAGTGGGCCAAGCTGCAGGGCCAGGCTTGGGGTGCAGCTGAGTAATTAGCGATGAGCTCCTGCTTCGCTTAGCTCTACGGGCAGATGCACTCACTGGGTGCAGCTGCCTGTTTCCTCTCAAGGCTGCCTCTCCAGGAGAGCCTGACAAGTCACTTGGGCACCCACATTTTGATTTGGGTTTGGAAAACTTCCATGAGGCCTGGGTGAATTTAGTATCTTTTTATCCTTTTTAAATTTAGATGAAATTTCACATCACTCAGAATTTTTGGAAGTGGCAGGCACAGAGTCCCATAAACTGTGTTTTCTCAGGGCACCAGCCTAAAAATATAGCAAGAACCACCTGGTCAGGTAGCTAAAAGCAAGAATATGTTCTCATGGATGCCTAGAGTCACAGGCATTTTCATCTGGCATCAAGCGTATCGATGCAGTGGATATATCTGGCAGCTGCTTGTGTCAACATCCTCCTAATTTTGGGCATCTCAGTTGGTCTGCTCTGAACTCCCTGCAGTGAGGGGCTTTCAGCTGCAGCACCTCATTCCCAAGAGCTGCAAAGTCTCCTAATGTGATATTTGCAGTAATAAATACTTTGGACTCCTTTGTCACCTTGTGCCTGAGGATTTCAACAGGCTTTGCAAGAAGTAATTAGTGCTGCTCACAGCTCCCACTCATGCAGGTAGAGATATTTCTTCTTCAGATGTGGGGAAAATGAGGTGGAGCAAATAGGAGTGTTATGCTCGGGTCACGAAGGGAGTGAATCATCCAGTGCAGAGCAAAGCATAGGACCGTCACAATTTGGCTGAGGAAAGCTGGCTCATCTGAATTTCTTTGCTCTCAGCACTGTTGTTGGTAATAGAGGAAGAGACAGCTTTCTAAACACGACTTTTTTTAACCTTAGTGCTATGGAGGCTTGCCAATTATTTCACAAAATTATGACTAAAAAAGAAAAAAAGCTTCATAAATCAAAAGAAACCTGTAAACCAAATTAAGCAAGGCAAAGAGGAAAGAGAAAGTTATCTCAGCTAACAGAGGGCAGGGAAGCAGGGGGACATGGGGATCTGCTTTGTTTTGAAATGCAACCATTTGCATTATAACCTTGTGTTTTTTTTGTCGCAATCCAGCTACGATGGAAACCTTTTGAGATCCCAAAAGCCCCTCAGAAAAAGCTGGACTTTGTGAGTGTAAGTCGGGGCCACCAGGGTATCCGGTCATCCTCAAGCTCTCTTCCACTTCGGTGGGGAATGGAGTGCTAACATTGGGCTAATAGCAGTGGCTTTGAGCCACTGGGCTTGCTGAGTATTTGTGGGAGGGGAGAGGATCCCAGTTTTCAACCAGCTGACAGTGGATTTGATTTTGTTGATTGCCTTTCTAGGAACTCTTAAAAAAAAAACCACAAAAAAACCCCCAAAAAACCCCAACCCTCAGTTCTCCTCAGTCCCTGGCCTGGAAAACACCAGCTTACATGGATGTTTTAGAAACTTTTAATGTATTAAAGGAAAGCCAACTCATCTGGCAAAAAGCCACACATGGAAAGACTTGTATTGGGAAGGGAAGGGGAGAGAGGGGGTGAGCACCATCAAGGGGATAGGATGGGGGGACGAAAGGGGACTGGTCCCTGCCCTGCTGCCTGCCACTCACTCGCGATGCTTTGGGTTTGCCCGCAGGGACTGCACACCTTGTGTGGTGCCGGTGATCTCAGAGGACGCAACGGCATCGCTATCCATATTTACGTCTGCAACACCTCCATGCTCGACAGGTCAGTGACTTCTACGCGGGAGGCTTGGGTTGCCCCAGGCTGGCTGCCTGCCCATGGACGTCTGTTGCCGCTGTGCGTGAGACCAGCTGTTCCCAGCATTGTTGTCTCTATGTCCTTGTGTGCACAGGCCACGGTGTCCACAGCAGGTGTTTGTGAATCAGGTTTTGCTCCATTATTATGCTGTGTGAAAGTGCCTGGGAGTTACAGCACCTTGACCTTCCTGTTCTCCTTTTTCTTTAGATGCCTTTATAATTCAGATGGTGACTTCCTGATTGGTGAGTTGATGTTTTGGCTTCTTCTTTCCCCCATGAGGGTCCACCTGGGTTGCCACCTGCCTGATTCCTTGTTCTTCCAGATCCTTGGGCCCTGCAGCCAAGATTTGGAGGAAGGGGTTGGCTTCACCCTCATGCTATCCAAATTTGGTGACCTGGCTCCAGCCAGGTTGTTGGATGGGCTCTGCTCCTGTGCAGCTCAGAAAGTGCGTATCTGTGCCAGACCTCAGTGCTGGTTTTCAGCAGTGACCCAGCTTCCTTCATGTAGTGCTCAGGAATCATTTCCCAGTGTTCCTCAGTCTGATATTAGGCGTAACAGAGCTGGAGGTTTTGTGGAAAATATAGACTTCAGAACTTTTGACCATCTTACAGCTAGAGGTTTTCATTGTTGCAATCCAAGAGTACTTGGCACAGCAGCTTAGCTCGCGTGCCCCACCAGCCTCAGGCAACCAGATCGCCACAAAGAACGTTGAGGTTGGCACATAAAGTGCATACATGCCGAAAAATATTTTGAGAGGTATCAGAAGTCTGATATTTGCTTGTATCTTTCTTGACCGAGGGACAGGTATGCCTTCAGGTCATGAACAGAAACATTTCTCCCACCAAATAGCTGTTAAATTATTCTCGCTCACCTCTCTCGCTACTGTGAAGTAAAAGTGCCAGGGAGGGTTTTGTAAATCTGCTAGCTTTTCAAAACAAAATGTGAGCTCTCCTGTGCCAGGACGGCCACAGAAAATAATGCGGATGTTAGTGAAGCATTGCTTCCTCTCTCAGGAAGCAAGGAGAATCGGTTATTCCCAAATATCTCATACTGCCACAATCAGGACAAGTGTAGGTACATGCACCATTTTACATGGAAACTATGAGGGAGGCAGGTATGGTCCCAAAAATGTCAAGTTCCATTTATCTGGACTGCAACACAAACCTTATATCAATGCATCACAAGGTGAAGTGTGGCCTGACCTCATGCAGGTAGCTTCTGTGACATGGAGTCCATGGGGCTGGTCTGCAAACTCTCCCTCCAGTGTGTGCATTTCTGCTGCAAGGTTCTGCATCGGAGAGGGAGCTTGGTCCCTCTGTGAAGTGGGGTCAGAAAGGGCCCACTACTCTTCCTTGGAGCCTGGGTGTTCTTGGGGGGCAGGGAAGGTGGCAATCACCACATTGTTTCAGCTCCTCTGCCTGCATTTTGTTTCCACAGTGCCCCAGCAAGGGAAATTGCTCATCACAACTGAGTTTGGGAAGATGTTAGTGGAGCCCAATGAAATCTGTGTTATCCAGGTAAGACCTCACTGTACCTTGCCTGTGGCTCAGAGCCCAGCATTGGAGCAAGCCAGCTCCTGCATTCAGCTGTTAGTAGTTTGTCAGCAAAGTCCTGGGAGGATCCTAGTATCTTCCTTTATTTTCCAGCAAGGAATGCGTTTCAGTGTGGATGTGTTTGGAGAGACCAGAGGCTACATCCTGGAGGTGTACGGAGCACACTTTGAGCTGCCTGACCTGGGACCCATCGGTAACAATCTCCCATCAGACCCACAGTGAATTTCACAGTGACAGGCGTGAATTGCAAGCCCAAATCCATCCTTTTATATCCTATGTAATATATCCTCCTGTGCACATGCTTGTTCCCAAAGACACTTCCCATCCCAGGATTGTTATTCTCTAGCAGATTGGGCATAATCCCCCCAGAAAGTGACAGCTCAGTCTTCCCAATTTTACCCTGAGACTGAAGGGACTATTTCTCTCCCATTCTCTTTTCTACTTTCTCTCTTCCCTTCTGGTCTGGGAGTTCTGGGAGTCTACTGGCTCTGAGCCTGTTTCTATTAAAAGAAACTCAAAAGGCCATAATCACTGATGCCTCTTACTTACAGACACCGCATAAACTGGAGTGATGTGAGGGAATTTACCCAGTAAATTGGAAGGCAGATTTCAGAGGAAACAGGTATTCTTGAAACCTCATTTTAGATTTAATCAAGTAGGATTTTCACCCCACTTCTGTTAACAGAGGTGCCTTAGAGCTCTAGAAACGAGACCACCCTAGTGTCAGAAGCTGCTCCCTTTGGAGAATCAGAAATCAATAAAATGAGCAGCACAGGACTCTGATCAGCAACACATTTGCATCTCTGTCTCGTGCTGCCAGGGCTGATCTGCTTTCACTGTGTAGAGGTCTAGCTCTCATAAATCACAGATCCCCTCTGCCAGCTGGTCTGATGACATGCGTGGGTGCATGGCATCTGAAGCCTTGACATCCTTGCTGTGATTTCCCAGCCAGCTTTCTGGAGGCACTCAGCTCAGGTGACTTCACCTTCCTTGTCCCTGGAGTACTTGCCTCCAAACTTTTCTTGCTGAAGGAAACACCTCCTGGTTACTGCTACTAAGATTGTCTCAGGGAAAGGAAGTGAAACTTCCCTCGTAACAGCTAAATTAACTACAAAACCAGTACCAATAATTTTCAACTTTCAGACCAATGTTTTGGAGTTGGTTGGTTTTCATTTTAGGTTAGGTTGGGGTATTTTTCCCCACTAGACTGGGCTTATTTTATAGCTCTCAGTATAAAAGACTGGCCATGCTTGAAGTAAACTGACTAGGTATTATCAATCAGTAACAAGCTTGGCATTGACAATTGGCATTCGGATGAACTTTACAACCATTTCATAGCTGTAGCGAAACTGAAACCAATCATTCCTGCAGCGAAGAACCATCCCAGCCTCCAGACATTTAATGAGATCCTGCTCAAGCACCTCTCCTGTGTGATGTGCGCTGCAAATCTCTTTCCATATAGAGCCTACAGTGATTTTTCAGCGGCTTTCCTTTCAGCCACCTGAAGTTAGCCACCTTCACCCACTTCTTGTGCTCTGCAACTGCTCCACTTGATTATTGATATTGTTGCACCAGCCTGTTTGTAACAAGTTTCCTCATTAGCTAGTTTTTCAGGTGCTGTTGGACCGGGTTTGGAGTGCAGTGTTTTTGGTCTCCAGAAGGCAGGAATCTATTATAAGGTTTACCTTCTGGAGAGAACAAAGTGAGTTCACTTGCCTGTAAACCTTTTCAGGAGGTGGTAATTATAAGAGCTCCTCTTCTCACCACCTACCTGCCTTCCCCTCAGAGACCCAGATTTTTTGTATTTCAGTCTTACTTTATTCTAACTTCACTTTTCACTTGCGAAATGACAGCTGGAGAAAAGAACTGACTGTTAAGCCTTAGCAGCAGGTAGTAACTTCCGCATTTTTATGCGAGAAATTCAAAAACACTTTGTAACAGTAATACTAATAAAAAGAAGAATGCAGCAGCACCTGTATGGTGCTTTGCACTTTGAAAACAAACTCCTCATGCTAACCAGCCCTTCAGCATGCCCAGAGTCTGTAGGTATCATCAGCCCTTATTTTGTTACTCTTTTTGCAAGCATTCAGAAATGTATTTGGCCCCTTCGTGACATGCCTCATAACTTCTTCATGGCTAAGTGTCCAACCAGCAGGATGTCCAGGAACAGAGAGCAATTTACCCTCCGTTTTTTGCTTAATTCCGGGTATTACATTCCTTTAATTGAGGATAATGTACTGATCTTGTTCAGAAGGGAAATGAGGGAAACCTGTCTTAGTCACATAAGGGGAGCATGGACTTAAATGCTAGCATGTATCACAATTAACTACTCATAGCGGCACATGAACTACGTGACTATTTCAGTTTTTATGGTGGGCCAAAAAGTATTAAGGTCATTCAGAATGCAGAAGGGTACCCACGAAACCAAGAAACTGCGCCTGCCTCTCATGTTGCTTGCAACTTGCCCGAAGAGCTCTGGCATCTCTCTTTCTTCCACAGGAGCCAATGGCCTGGCCAACCCACGAGACTTCTTAGTGCCTGTTGCATGGTACGAGGACCGCCAAGTGCCAGGGGGCTACACAGTGATCAGCAAGTACCAGGGCAAGCTGTTTGCGGCCCAGCAGGTGAGGGTGCCCCAGGAGAACAGGTAACACAGAAGCCCGGCGACTGCCAGTGTGTGGCTTGGCACGTGCAGTTCAGTAGTGCCCACATAGTCTTGGAGGGCCTGGTGGGTTGAGTGGAGTGGGACTGAGCCCTTGCCTTGTTAGGTCATTTAACTTCTCTGCATTCATCTTTCACAGTCTGGGGAAAAAAAGTGTTTGTGAACACTTGGTTGCCCAGAGACTCAATGAAAGTCTTAGCATCACTGTTTCCATAGGTTTATAGAGATGGAGTAGAAAAGAGGAGCTGAGGCGGCTGTGAAGAGCCAAGGTTTCCTTTACCAGTGTTGCAGCCAGCCTTGCTCAAGCACTGCCTGAGCACTCGAAAGCCCTTAGAGACCAGAATGCGGAAGGAGAGCTGAGGCTCATCAAGTGAAAATGCTGAGGAAAACCATGTCCTCCCAATGTCAGGCTATGCCCAAAGGGTTTCCTGCTCCAGGCTGATGGTGTATCTCTCACCATCAACGAACCCATTTTTGACTTTGGAAAGAGCAGCACCCTGCATATGTGTGGCAAGTTGGAAGGTTGTGTATGGTAACCCTCTGTGTCTTTGCTTTTGCTAGGATTTCTCTCCCTTCAATGTTGTAGCCTGGCATGGGAACTACACGCCGTACAAATACCACCTGGAAAAATTCATGGTTATTAACGCTGTTGCTTTTGACCATGCGGTAAGTTCTGGAGCTGGGCAAGGCAAACTAATGCTTTGTGGATACTGTATCATCCAAACCCACCCTCAGCTTCAGGCCCTCAGCCCCTGTTAAAAAATAAGTCGTACTCTAACAAATGTTGTGAAATCTCTTGTGCTGCTTTCCTTGGGCCTATACCAAGCTCTCGTGAAAAAAAGACAACTTCCTTTGTGGTATGAAGACATAACTGGAGGTTGATCAGCTTCTTAAACAGGTTTATGGAGCTTAGCACAGGATTTCTGTGCCCTGGAGGAGAGCTAAATACTGAAGCCAACACAGACCACACAACTCAGCAAAAAGACTTCAGCTTCGAATTCTTGCCTTGATTTATTTCTTGTAATTGCACAGACTCCTTTTCCTGGTTCATCTGAGTCCAACACTGAAATTTGTTTGAAGAGCTGGCAGCTTTCATTGTAATAATTTCTAGATCTTATGGAAAATAACTAAAGCCAAAACTAATGTGAGCAACTCTTACAAAAAGGAAATCAGCCCAGTGGGACAGGTGCCCACAGCGATGCCATCTCACAGTGCTGCTTCTGCAAGTGGGTGTGCAAGGAGACTGGAGCATTTCTAGTGAGACAAACAACAGAAAGTATTGTTTAAACTCTAGAAGTAAATGCCAGAAGAAGGGTGGTTTGGGGATCAAAGCCCAGAAAGTCCCTTTACTGGACTAGAGACTTCAAAAATCCTGGAAGCAAAGCACACTTTCTCTGCATTTTACTTTCCCTGTTTGTAAACTAACAGGGCTGTAAAGCTCAATGTCAGGAACTTCTGCCCTCGGTAAGCAGCTTAGGTGGGTGTATGGTTTAGTGGTAGGAGGAGTGCTGGAGACTGCTTCTGGAATTTCAGCCCGCCTTCTTGCGGGGCTGTCCCTCCCCTGTACCTGTGCCCCAAGCTCTGAGGGCATCATTGCTGGGGCAGCGAAGGCTCTCTAAGGCTGCCAAAAGAAAGAATCACCCAGTCTTGCCTGCCACGTTCAGCATGGGATCAAGATGCTGGATGCTGTCACACAAGGTCACTAATCTCACCCGTAGGACCAGGTGCAGGTGGTGAAAACCGTTTTGGCAAGGGAGAGGCTGTATCAGTCAGGTTTACTGGTAGGATGGCCCAAGTAACCAGCTCTGAGACATGCTCTGTTTCATGCTTTTAATTTTGCTTTTTTTCAGGATCCTTCTATATTCACTGTCCTGACAGCCAAGTCAACCCGCCCTGGAGTGGCACTGGCTGATTTTGTCATATTCCCCCCACGATGGGGTGTAGCTAACAACACCTTCCGGCCACCCTACTACCACCGTACGTCTGCTCTTTGTTGGTTGTGTTTGAGTACAGGACAGCAGAAAAAGAAACAAGCCTTCATTTATCTGGGAGTATGCGCTGGGAAGAAGCAGTCTGATTTGTTGTCCTTGGCAGAGCTAGAGTTAGATTCTCAGAGTCAGTCAGTTCTCCCTGGAAAACAAACAAAACCAAAAATGTCTCTATTTAGATCATCTCAGGAAAACACAGAGGTGATGGGCAGGTTGTGTCTGCATAGGTTCATGTGTCTGTACCCACTGAGACCGGGTGCATATTGAACTTGGCATTGCACAAATGCGTCAGAAATTGTCCTCTCATCCATAGAATCATAGAATCATTCAGGCTGGAAAAAAACCCTTGGGATCATTGAGTCCAACCATTAACCTTGCTCTACAAAGCTCACCCCTAAACATATCCCCAACACCACATCTAAATGACCTTTAAACACCTCCAGGGATGGTGACTCAACCACTTCCCTGGGCAGCCCATTCCAATGGCTGATGACTATTGCTGTGAAAAATTTTTCCTAATGTCCAGGCTAAATCCACCCTACTGCAGTTTGAAGCCATTCCCTCTTGTTCTATCGCTAATTACCTGTGAGAAGAGACCAGCACCAGCCTCTCTACAATGTCCTTTCAGGTAGTTGTAGAGAGTAATGAGGTCTCCCCTCAGCCTCCTCTTCTCCAAACTAAACAGGGCCAGCTCCTTCAATCATTCTTTATAAGATTTATTCTCCAGGCCCTTCACCAGCTTCGTTGCCCTCCTCTGCACTTGGTCCAGCACCTCGATATCTCTCTTGTATTGAGGTGCCCAAAACTGGACACAATACTCGAGATGTGGCCTCACCAGTGCCGAATACAGGGGGACCATCACCTCCCTACTCCTGCTGGTCACACTGTTTCTAATAGAAGCCAAGATGCCGTTGGCCTTCTTGGCCACCTGGGCACACTGCTGGCTCGTATTCAGACACTCGTCTATTAGGACCCCCAGGTCCCTTTCTACCAGACAGCTTTCCAGCCACACTTCCCCAAGCCTGTAGTGTTGCATGGGGTTGCTGTGGCCCAGTGCATGTTCCAGCCATGAATTACTTAGTAGCTCATTAGAGTGCATAAAGAACAGGAGAAAGGAAAGTATGATGTCATAGGTGGGATAGATAGCATGATAGCCCAGAGGGATATAGAGCTGCCCAAGACCATCATAGGGAGAGATCAGATTTACAGCAAAAGAACCAATTGTCTCTCCTGAGCCCTTGTTCACCACTTGCACAGTGATGGAGGTACCTCTGGCCTTTAAGAAGCCAAAGATAAAGAACTGGACTCCTTCTCAGGCAGAGAGTTGGTTGATGTTTTGGGGATTGGGTTGCCATCACCAGAGCCAGTGGGTTTTTGGCAGTTTTTTGGGTTTATCTTGGTAGTGCATGGCCATATGTTGCATTGAATGGATGCTAGAAATCCAGTTCTCCACATGGGGCTGCCTTTCCAGGGTCGGGATAAAGCAACATGCTGTGTGAGACTGAGGAGAAGGCTTGCTCATCCCTCACCCGTGCTCTAGACAGCTAAAAGGCCCCATCTCAGAATCTATCTAGGTCACACTATGGTCACTCTGAAGTGCTGAGAGGCTTTCTGCACACTTCCTAAGCACAATTTAATAGCCAACTCCTGCTACTTAGACTGGCAGAATTAGTGGCACTTGCAAGCACAGTAGGCAGCTGTGCCACCATCTGAATAAAACCCACAGGCAAAGTCCTGCCCTGTCATTCTGCTTTTATTCACAGTCATGAGTGTGACATGTCTCCTGATGGGCTGGGCTAGTGCCAAGTCAATTTTATTAGACCCTAAGAGGTGAGACATGTTGCCAGTTTACCACAATTAAGTTGCTGCGCATCAGCAGAGCTGTGATAACTTTCCACAGAGACGTTGTGTCGAACAACACGAACTTGCTGCGTCTAATGCAGCTTTTACAGCAGATATTGCACCTGTGCCTTGGAAAGCACTTGTGTGATTATCATTCTGTTCAAACCTAGTATCTAATGGCCACTAAGGGATTTTAACTTCACAACATCCTGCTTGGAGAGGACAATGCTATTTTGCTGATAGGGAATGGAGGCACACCTAAGCTGTTGGGGATTATGTGAACAAATAAGAAAATGAACTGAGCTCATCTCTTAAGTCCCAGCCTGGTTTCCTACTCACCTGCCCATTCTTCTTAAGCAACACTACAAGCCTCATTGCAGAGGTGTTGGCAATCCAGCTCTTAGTGTCTACGTAGCAGTCTGAGTGCACCAAGTGCGGTACATGAGTGAGTTCAATGAAAAGCCTGTAACAACCCGGTGTTACATGAGATACTGACAACTCGGGATGAAAACTAGTGAGAGTTTGTATACGTATGTAGGCCAACTCTGCTTTGAGCTAAATTAGTTTTGTTGTTAAATATTTTAGACCTTAGGCTGTATTTAATGAATACCAAGCTAGTTGTTAAAAGGTCAATATATAATAAAAGTGTGTCCTGGTTTTGTGAAAACTGGCTACTAAGCAGAACGTTGCCATATTGTTTAGTCACATCAGGCCTTCTAAAACTGAAAGCTTGGGATGGCAGCTGTTATAGCACTTCCTTTACAGGGAGCATAATTCAGTAAGTACTGAATTATGAGGTACAGCCATTCTTACCTAAGTTTGTGGTATATTATTCCATTGGTTTCAGAGGCTCTACTTAAAGTATTCTTCCTTGCAGAAGGACAGAATTCAGCTGCTTGTCTTTGGGTGCACAGTGGCTCTTGCAGAAAAGGTAGATAATGCTTGAACCAAAAGCATAAGGTACTGAAGTGCCTGGCTGGACTGGAGGTGGTAGAATAGTATAGAAAAAAAACTATTTCAAGCTTACAGCCTGGGACAGCCGACCAGGCTCTCTCACCAGACTACCAGGCAGGCATTTGGTGCCTCAGTGCCACAGGAATGATTACACTGAACTTTCTTTCCAATGCTTTAAGATCTCTAGGTCTTGTAAATATCAGGTTATGCCATGCTGGCCATATGCAGATGTAGTACTTACACAGCTCAAGGTGGTAGGAAAAGCACAGGTCTACCAACATCAATGCATCTTCACTAGGGAGCTCTGTTTCTGCATCCACATAATTTAAGAGTAGAATAAAACCCATACAGCATTGCAAGATCCCTGATGTCTTCTTCTCGTGTGATACCCTGCTTAAGAACCTCCACCCAGTGCCTGGTCCAGCTTAGCTGGTGGGTTTCAAGGAGCTCACAGCCCAGCTGTGATGCCTCCCATTCACACCATGTGGTACCTCTTCTCTATGTCTCCTGCAGGGAACTGCATGAGTGAGTTCATGGGGCTCATCAAAGGCCACTACGAAGCAAAGGAGGAAGGCTTCCAGCCTGGAGGGGGAAGCTTGCACAGCATGATGACTCCTCACGGGCCAGATGCTGACTGTTTCGAGAAGGCGAGCAAAGCCAAGCTGGAGCCTGAGAGGGTTGCAGAAGGGACCATGGTAAGGAGCCGAAGGAGCCAGTAACATTTTGAATGTGGCACAGCGTACTGTGGCTGTGCCACTCTCGAAGTATAGCCTAGCTTCTTCCTAGCAAGTGGGAAAAGTACTTAGAATCATAGAATCTTACTTGGACGAGACTGGTACAGCATTCACTTCCCCTACCATCATCACCAGGAGCAGCCCTGGAGACATGCAATGCTAAGCAGCTTTCATTATCTGCCCACATAAACTGTTGCCTGAGCAGGAGGCTGGGAATTTTCATGCTGATTAATTCAATTTTTGTCTTAGCTTACGTACAAAGAAGCAAAACTCCTGACTGTCCTCCTTTCTCCACCCCCTACAATCGTCATCAACAGACCTTGAACTAGAGCTTTTGGAACAACTTGTCTTTCCTGGGTGTGCAGGGAGTCCAAGGTCACTCCTGACACCTGGTTAATACCAGCATTCCTATCACAGCTCAGTAGAACCCTCTTCCCCTGGGTTGATCAGGCAGGAGGCAGAACTTGGCAATGCTAGACCATGCGTACAATCCCTGTTTGTGGTAAAGCAGAGCCACCTTCCCTGGATTTAAACTCTTGCTCTCTTGCTCTAACCTACCCTCCTTCTTCCCACAGTCTTTCATGTTCGAATCATCCCTGAGTCTCGCCGTCACCAAATGGGGCCTCCAGACCTCCAACTGCCTTGATAAAAACTACTACAAGTGCTGGGAACCTCTGAAAAGCCATTTCAATCCTAAGTGCAAGTAAAGAGAAGTATTTGCTGTTTGCAATACAAGAGCAAAGGCAGTGAAATCCAGCGTACCTATGTGTGGTGGCACAGTTGACTTGGGCAACAGAACAGAATGGCGTTTCCAGCAGCCAAGCCATGAAAACGATCATCCCTATGTAACTTGGGTACTGCAGTAAAGAAATGCCCAAAACACTACATTATTTTTAACTTTCAAACACGCAATTAAAGCTTTCCTGGTGACATGCTGAAATCGAAGCACTCTCACCATGTGTAGTTGGTATGAATACTTGTGTGGACACGAGGTGACAGCCAGCACCCGTTCATAGGGCCTCCTGAAAATACAGCCTGGTGTGTGTTCCACAGGGAGAAGCTAGGGATCAACGTGGCAGTTTAGGCTGTGTGTAGGGGAAGACCTTTAGAAACAGAGCTTTAAGACCTTTAGAAACAGAGCGGAAGGCTCTACCAGAAATAAGTATCCTGTCTGAGCAGGCCACTTCAACCTGCTCAATCTATGGCAGGTTGCAGAGGAAAGACCTGATTGTCCAAAAAGAGGCTGCAAATTAGGAAAGCTTGGAGGATCCAAAGTGCTTCACTGCTAAGTGAGGGTAAGTTTCCTTTCCAACCCCATGCTCTGGCCATCCTTCAACATCGACTTGTTTGTCAACACTCGTCAAACCTCATACCTGCACTTTAGCACGTACTCATGTGAAACAGTAACTAACCTTAGTTCTATCAGGATCTGTGTTTCTTCCTTTCTGAGAGAAACAATCCTCAGTTTTCCAAGATAAGGAAAGGTAAAGCTGCGATATTTAACTTCAGTCAGTTACATCTATCATCAGTTTTGGATCTGCACCAGATCCTTGGGGAAAAAAACACACCAGCTTTGAGAAAAGTATTACATTATAAAATCAACAGGGAGATGTTTGCTCTAAATAGCCAGCTCAGAAAAGGACGTTCAGGAGAATCAATTTTTCAGAGAGGCTGATTTAATCAGACTGATCCAGGGATAAACGAGGTCTAAATGTTTCACAGGCAAAGGGCAAAAACTCATTTTCTGTTTAGGACCTAAATTATCATCCAGTGACATGCAGGCTTGAGTTTCTCTTGCTACAGACTCACCACTGAAGCAGACGTGAGTGGTAAAACATCAGTCAGGGGTAAAATTCCACAAGGCACATTCACTTTTTTGTCTTCATCCTACATTTATGAAGGGAAACACCCCTTTTGTTCCTCTGTACACCTAGCACCTCTGCCTCAAACCACCAACAGCACCTCCAGTAACTTAGCGCGTTCGTTCCTTGCAAGAAAACAGCTTGGAGAGTTCTGCAAAAAAAATCCACAAGAGAAAACCAGGGCAGCCTTTCTTCAAACACCACACTTAAATCTGCTGGGACCTAGCCAGCAGACATAGCCATCTGCATAGGAAAGGGCTGTGGGAGGTTCCACAAACATCAACCTGGGTCTGGCCCAAAAGACCAGAGACCCTGCGCTCACTTCCAGCTCATCCTGAGCCATTTGCTCCACTGGCCTGAAACAAATACAGCTACAAGGGAGAATTTACACGTGTGGCATCTTCAGTTCCAATTAACTGAGGAAATGGGTCCTGGGAGATCAAATTAGTTTGTGGCAGCAGGAAGATAGTTAATTCAGCATGCTCAGACAAGCAATTATTCTAAATACTGCTTTCTCCATGCATTGATGCCTCTCTCTCTCCGCACTGACCCACAGCCCTATCTTGTAATATCATTTGTGACAGTATTTTACCAGCTGTTCTGCAGAGAGAATAATCAAAGTTTGCTTTAGTTGAGCTAGCAGAAGAGCCAGATACAGAGACAGATGCAAGAGGGTTCCTGAGAGCACGTGTGGGGACTGTGAAAGCAGGCTAGGGCCTTGCACAACTGCTGCACACATCACGAGTGCCAAACTCTCCACAGCCTGGACGCTTCATGATGCAGGCAAGAGAGAGAAGAGCTACAAGAGAAAACACTTAAAAAGAAATTAAAATTGGGACACACATTTTTACTGTGAAAGCGATTGAGCACTAGCACAGGTTGCCCAGGGAGCCTGTGGAGCCTTCACCTTTGGAGATACCCACATTTCTAAGCAACTGGCTCTAGGTGGCCCTGCTTGGGCAGGGGGCTGGATCAGATGATCTCCAGAGGACCCTTACAAGCTCAGCCATTCTGTGATTCTGTGAAAAAGCTCATGAACTTGCTTGGAGGGAGTGGGACTGCAAACAGCCCTTATTTATGTCCTAATCATAGAGTGGCTTGAGTTGGAAGGGACCTTGACGACCATCTAGTTCCAACCCCCTTGCAAGGGCAGGGACACCTCCCACTAGCCCAGGATGCTCAAACTAGCCTGGCTTGCTCAAACCCCCATCCAGCCTGGCCTTGAACGCTCCCAGGGATGAGGCACCCACAGCTTCTCTGGGCAACCTGTGTCAGTGTCTCATGACCCTCACAGAAAGGAATTTCTTCCTAATGTTTAATCTTCTAACCTAAATCTACCCTGCTCTAGTTGAAAACCATTGCCCCTTGTCCCATCATAGCACTCCCTGATGAAGAGTCTCTCCCCAGCTTTCCTGCAGGTCCCCTTCAGGTACTGGAAGACTGCTGTAAGGTCCCCCCGAGCCTTCTCTTCTCCAGGCTGAGCAGACCCAGCTCCCTCTGTCAAGTAGGAAAATGATGCAGTAGAGCTGCTTTTGCTAACGATCCGTAGGCTGCCTTCCCACAAGGCAGAAAGAGGTTTTCAACTTTTGTATCAGACTGAGCTTTTGGTGTTGACCTCAACATCTGGGAAGAAACGGCTCTCATGCAACGCCTTAAGAACAAATGTTGTTTGGATCATGATGGCACCTACAGGCCATGTGAAAACTCACATCTGAACTAAACATCTTTTCCTTGCACTCACATTTCAGTACTTTAACAGTTAATAATTCTAGAGCCCCCTATGCTAGCTGACCTCAGAAGAAGAAAACTTGTGTTCTTGCAAGAATAAGCAGAGAAGGTATCTTTGCAGGCACAAGGTTCAGTTAAGCTTGGCCTTTTGTGGGTTTGTTGTGGGTTTTTTTCAGTCATGGCCCATTTGCAGAGGTAAAATGGCTTCTCCCAAAATTTAAGGGAATCTGTGTCAAAAATAAAAACCTTTGATCTTTTTACTTCTTGTCTCCCACTCACAGGAATATCAGAATTAGTGGAAATGCTAGTCACAGATAGCATGACAACATTCAGCTCTCTATTTCCAAGTCTGGTACAGTAATTTTATCCAAAAGTTTATTGCAGTAAACATGGGGTTTAGGCTTGCGTTTTATCGGGGGAAAGGAAAACTAGCCCAACTTATTAGGAGCATGCCTGACTGCTCTCAAAGTTATTAAAGACATATTCGAATTAGGGGAAACTGCATAGTCAAAGCGACGCCGGGAATACCTGGTAGGCAAGCAGTGGTTCTTTAGGAAACTGCTTTGGGCTTGCTTAATGTTTTAGTCTGCTACAGATTTTAAACTTCAGCCTGCGCTGCTCTGACAGCAACAACTTAACTGTTTAAAAGAAGTACACTGGTCGAGTTTGGGACACCCTCTCTGTGTCTATCCGCGCTTTCATAATTGTTTAAGATGCAAGAAAATCAACAGGCAATTAAGATTTATTCTTACAAAGGAGAAATGTCAGCACACAACATATCTTATATCTTATTTTATTTATATCCCATGAATAGCACTGCAATTCCAGGAACTTAAAATAAACTGAATGGTCGCCGCTCGTATTTACCTTCTTGGATAAGCTTCGCTCTACGATCCTGTGGAAGAAAGAGAACATACATCATTATCCTATTAGAGAAGAAGTTTCCGTTAGCGTGCGACGACAGAACAGCACTACTAGTATTTCAGCATGGACTACAGAGAGGTAGTACTACATACGATCTTAAGGGTCTTTTCCAACCTAAATGATCCTATGAGCACAAACTCTGGTAAAAGCTGTTGTGGTCAAAAAAGTAAAAAAGAACATTTTTAGCTTCACCTGCCAGACATGGAAGAGACCTCTGCACATGCAGCCACTCCCACAGGCCAGCATAGACCAATTCCTTTGATGTATTCTTCACCAAACTCATTCCATCACAGTTAACACATGCATTTAGGTTCTGCTTCCTCGTTCTTGCTGAATAATCCAGTTTAGATATTTAATTATGGAGAAACTTCTAAATAACTTGCCTAAATGTGCCTGTATTCACTTCCAGCCCATTTGTATCTCACTCTGAAGTCATGTACCTTTCTGACAGGTATTGTTACTGTTACACAGACACCGCAGATATTGCCCAGATGCCTTCAGCTGGATAAAACCAGAAGCCTTGCTTAAGACTTGGTAATTTATCTTTTGCTTTCCCAGATGCAGAACAAACACTCCACAGAGAAAAAGAGTTATTGTGCATTATATACTACCAGAAAACAAAGAAAAATCCCTAAACATCAGTAAAGAAACTGCAATAAAGGCAAAAAAGTTGTCCAGGAGACTACATTAAAAACTTCAGCTTGAATACCCCCAGGCTAGATTTCACTCACACAGGTTTATTTTCAAGCACTCACGTGCTAAGCCCTACTCGGTGGCGAAGCCCAAGCTTGGCTCTATGTACAAAACAAAACCAGTATGCCAAAATACTGCAGAGATGCTGAAGTCTCAAAAACATTTATAACAATATGCTCAGCACGTTTCCTAAAAAACCTGTATTTTTGATTCATCCTACCAAACAACATTCCCTACAAATATTCTATTAATTTTAATTGATATTTGTGCTTCTCGGCTTATGACTTCATCTAAATATGCTACTTTTGTGCAAAAGACAGAAATAAGTGTTTTACAATAGCCACAAACTCACTAGTAAAAAACAGCCACTGTCTGCCAGTCACCTAGCATCTTCTTATGTGTGCATATAGCTAATTTTTTTCGGAATTAAATACTCAGGTTCTGATGCCCACATTTCAGGAGTTAGAACAAAAGCAAGATGAACCTTCCAAAATCTTACAGTGGGCTGGGATCAGGCACTGCAATCAGTATAAATACTCCTCCCTACTTGCTTTACGTGATTAGAAAAATGGTCAAGCAACCCACAGAGACATTACTGAGTTTGTCATCCATAAGGTCCCTATGTGTTTTAGGGAGTGCCATTACTACACCATCTACAACTAAAATAATAGTCTCTTACGATAAATTTACATTGCCAGTGTTTCAGAGAGCTTATCAGAACAAAATATTCCGATCAAGGGCACTGCGACTGGACATACCCAAGGGTACAGTACAGGCATAAGAGGACTTTGCAACCAGTCATGAGCCTGCAGGCTCAGTATTAGCCTTCCTTTCCTCGCCACTTTGAATATATTAATGATTCTCAGGCGCAACAGGATCCCACCAATGAAGTCCCGAGGCAGATCTACATTTTACACTTACCCTTTCATATTTGAAGGCAGCAGCCCATAAAAGAAGAGGGCCTAATGCATAAACTACTCCTAGAAAGGATGTCTTAGGTGTCGGTCGGAAAGTGGGGTAGACGTTGAGTGTCCTAGCATGGGCCCAGCGGAGCAAGGCAGGATCTTCCTGGGGTGGGAAAGAAAATCACAGTGAGGCCCCAGGGGCCACGTAACGGCCCCTGACCTCGACGGGG